TATTCCACTGAACCATCTCTCCGGCCCCAAATCTATAATATTCTTTATATTCTACAGTATACTTCTTTTTTTCTGTATTTAGGACAGAGTCTACAGCGTCTACAGGGTCTCACTGCAGGGTCTACAGCATCTCACTCATTCCTCCTTTTATACTGTCCACATCATAGCACATTTTGCTCCTAGGCGATATACTTGTTCTTCAAGGACCTCCCAGATTCCCATTCAGTATGTGATTGCTGTTTGTCCACTGATGTCCACTGAAGGAAAGGAAAAGTCAAACACAATGTACTATAGGCAGTAAACCTTCTAGAAATCCTAAAACAGGTACCATCTGGTGACTTAAAAATAGCTCCTCTCCCGCCTAGTCTAGTAGTTAGTGTACATTGGGTTTTCTAATTTCTGTCCTTTATAGTTGTCTTATATAATTACATAACTGTCTTCACTACCTTCTTGAGGTCAGAGTCCTTTCACTGAGTTTCCAACACAGCACAATAGCTGACACATCGGAGGTGGTTGGTCCATATCAGCAGATGACTGGCTGAGTGAAAGCTCCCTGTGCATGTGTGGAAGTTGCTTCCCATAATTCTCTGTTCATGGAATATAGTCACAGTCTCCAAATTGCTGGGCACTGCACCACGGTGTCCCCATGCATCCAAAACACAGAAGGCCATGGTCTGCAGAAAGATACATGACAGACTGCATGCACAGTGCTGAATAAACCAAATCACGGAGTGAAAAAAATTACTTCCATTCAGGTTTTGTTTCAGTCCTTATTATTCCCACAAGAAAGATGAGTTTGGAACTAATAGGTCTTTAACACCTGTGGAATAGTTGCTAGTCTTTCTTTGGAATAACGCGTGAATCCGGCTGTAAGCTCAGAGCTTTTCACTGCGCTGCTGTCGTCCTAAGATGCTTCGCTTTTGTTTCATTTTTGTGTTTTTATAGTTATTTTCTATTTAGGGAAAGTGTTGTGTATTGGCTTTTCTTTAATGTAACAAAAATAAAGTTTCCTTTAAAATATATTCAAGCCAATAAAAGGAAACTAATTTAAAGAAAACACTAACTGGCACACAGATCCAACAAAAATCTTGAGTGTGGCATGCGAAGGATGGGAATATAGGAAACGAGCTTATTTCATCAGCTCTTTTGTTTATTTTCAAAGACTGAAATTAACAGTGTTTTCTCTCCATGTCTCTAGAAGTCATTGCAGTGAAGAATTACTCCACAGAAGGCTTAAATTGAGTGAAAACTATTTCTAATTTAATGAGCTGAATTATTCTTATCCTGTACGAACCATATGGCTTTATTATTGTGTTCTAGATTTTCCTCATATTGCTTACATTTAACTGATTATATTGTGGTTTGTCTATAAACTGAATAATCAGTATCCCAGAGAAATATGAACAATGTGTAGGAAGGACTGAAGGGCTCAGCTTTTTATTCCCCATGTTCAGTGCTGCATGTGACTCCACTATGTATTCAGATACTTGTTGAATGAGTGGGCAGGTGGATGAGTCTAGGAAACACAGCAGCTAACATCTGCTGGCATCTCTTTAACGTCAAGCAACATGTGGCCCTGAAGAAAGGACTTTTAGGCTTTTCTAGGGACAAGATGAAAAGGAAAAGCTAACTCCTCATAAGTCCAAATTTAAATGTCAGTTCTAATATAACTTATGATGCAACCAAAAATAAATTACTTTAACTTCTGAGAATTAGTTTCCTCATATCTAAAATGGTTTACTATTTTGCTTATAAAGTTGAAAGTGTTAAATATACTTTGAAGATGTATAAATACATTAAATACAGTTTTTTTGGTTTTAAACTATGGAGACTTGCTAGGGCTAAATTAAACAAAAATGGAATTCATTTTGAGGATATGGGATAAATCATAGAATTAATGGGAAACTAAAGAACAGGTATTGAGAGAAGCTGGTCCAAAGGTATTGGAGGGATTAAAGTAGCCTGAGCTGAGGGATTTTCACAGAAATTTCAATTTTTATTTTGAATCAAAAGAAGTAAAAATCAGTCATACTTCTCTAGGTACAAAATTCTAAGGAAATTGGAGTTATGGATATATAAAATGACTCTTACAGTCCCTTGAAGATAAAATAGACAAAAAAGACCTGAGTTTTATGCTGTACAGTTATTTCCCTCATGGGTTAGTGGAAATAGGAAACTTTTTTTTCTCTATAACCTGGTCCCCTGCTGATAGATTTTAGTGGCAATACAGCTTCCAGAGCACTGAAAACTTGATAAAGATATGAATAAGAAATATGATTTCACTTGATCTTTAGAATTGGTACTATTATTCTGGGATGGAAACTAATTTTTATTAAATCTTCCCCTTTTCCTCTGATAGTCATGTCCCATGTCTGAGAATGCAAAGACAACCATAAAAAGCCAAAACTAAACAAAAAATGTCTTTTGACTATTATCAGTACAACACAGGGTTGTCCCAAGCTGGGGTTAGGACAAGCTGGTTTGTCTATCCCTTGGAAGCAGTATTTTGTCACTGACTTTGCTTGGTATAATTAACATTTGTGACCATAAATTTCAGACCAACATTCTCTCACTCATTCATTTATTTGCAGTGCTGGGGATTGAATCCAGGGCCTCATATATACTAAACATACCTTCTACCAGTAAACTACACCACTGATTCCAGACCGACTTTTAGATTTCTTTAAATGCTGTGCAGACTACCCCCACCACCACTCCCAGTTGACAGACCTTCACTGCAGCGTAATTCATCTAGGTCTGAAACTGTTTCAC